GCGGGTGGGCAGGCGCGCGGCCGGCGCGGGGCGCGCGCGCGGGGCTCGTCTCGGAGCGGGCGGCGGGGGAAGATGGAAGGAGCGTCCTTCGGAGCGGGCCGGGCGGGGGGGGCCATCGACCCCGTGGATTTCCTGAAGCAGCCGCAGACCCTGCTCCGGGTGACCACCTGGGTAAGGCGGGGCCGGCGGGGCCGGCGGTGCGGGGGGCAGCGCCCGGTGCCCCGGGCGGTGCGGGGTGCGGTGCGGTGCGGGGGCAGCGCCCGCGCGGGGTGCGGTGCCCGCGGCATCGCCCGGTTGCCCGTGCGGGGCCGGTGCGCGGTGCGGTGCCGGGTGCGTCCCGCCCGTGCCCGTTACATCGTGCCCGGTGCGGTGCCGCTGCGGCGGGGGGTGCCCGGCGCCCCGGGCCGTGCTGGCTGCCTTGGGAATTCCCTTGGGAATGGGGCAGGGAGCGGCGGGGGGGGATGCGCCGCTGCCCGTGCCCGGTTCGGTGCTGGAGGATGGGGTGCGGAGCGGGAGGCAGAGGACATTTTCCTGCCTTCCACGCTCCGTGCGTGCGTGTGTGTGACAGAAATCCGGGAGCCAGCCCTGCCCAGCTCCCCGTTCTGCTGGAGGGATGGCACGGGCTTTGGCCATCTCCCATCCATGAATTCCTGCCGCGGAGCGGAGAGCAGGCGGTGGAATGGGCTGTGCAGCCCCTCTGGGAGGGCTTTGGTGGTCCACGAACAGGCAGCACAGGGAGCTGAGCTCTGGAGCTCCGGGGGCCCGGATGCCCAGGGCTGAGAGCAGCCCCTAATTTGCCTCCCCAGCCTGGCTTTTCTGCTGAGATCTGCAGGTATGCGTGGCCTTGGGAGGTCGGGAATGCCTGGTCCTTCCCAAAAGCCCCCAGTGGGAAGGGTCTGCCCAGCTCCGGTGCTTGGCTGGAGGCTGTGGATGAGCAGAGCTGGGCCAGCAATGGATCTGGGGCATCCAGATTGATGTGAACGGGGCATTTTGGGCAGGGTTCAGGCACTTGGCAGCAGTTGTGTCCTAGAGGCACTGCCTCAGTCTAGAAAACTTGATCTGGATCCACCTGGATGCTCCTGGATCCTCCTTGAGTGCAGTGGCAAACTGTTGACTGTGGTGTTGGTTTGGGGAATGGTTGGATAAATCTGACCCACTGTTGGTGAGTTGGGCCTGTGTGAGATAAATCTGTCATGTCATATCCAGAGAGGTCTCAGAGATCCCTTCAGGGATTGGACACTGCTGGGAAGCAGGACCAGGATATGGAAAATGGAGACAAAATAAAGGTCCCAGCTTAGAAAATAGTCTTGTGTGTATTTGCTGGCTGGCTTATTCAGTGGTAAAGTCCCTGGTCTTGTGGCTCTGTGTTCACAGGGAATTGGTGAAAGCCAAGTGCTTACAACTGCAGAAACACATCAACTTAACTCAAAACAAGTGCAGGAACCACTGATCTGGCCAAACATGGGATGTGTGCAGTGCTGTCCCATCCATGTTTGCAATACTGGGAGTCAGCTCCAAAGCCCAGTGAGCAAAATGGGAGGTTCTGCTCTTTTCAGTGGGCTGGGGATTGGGTTGTGGAAGTCCCACAGTAAAAGCCCTTTGGAGCCCTTTTCCCAGGTCTCAGATTTGCTGGCAGACCTGTCAGGGACCCTTCTCCATTGCTGCTCCACTTTGGGGGAGCCTTGGTTGGCTTTTGCTTGGCTGTTGCAGCCCAGTTACCTGTGCCTTAAACCACTTCAGACTTAAAACTCCTTTCCAGTGCGAGCTGGGACTGCAGTTGGGTGGGAGGTGTGAGGGGGGGTTCCCTTCCCACCTGCTGTTTCTTGCAGGTTTGGCAGAGCAGAGCGTGTCCGGGCTCCTCCCGAGCGGTTGCTCTGCTGCTTTTGCCAGACAAAAACCATGTCCAGGTGGAGATCTTGGATGGAGGAGGCAACCAAAGGCTTTGCTGAGGTCTCTGCTGCCTTTCTGTTCTGTTCATGTGTAACTGCTGCCCTGGGTGAGTGTGGCAGTACCGTGGGCACCAGGTGACATCCGTGGTGGCAGCCGGAGCACGGACCAACGCCCGCCGTGCTGCTCCCGGATGCACAAAGCAAACACAGCCCTTCCCAGGCTTCCCTGCCTGCCATCCTGGGACATCCAGGCTGCCCATGCCCTGGATGGTTATTCAAAAAGCCCTGAGTTTAGGTGCTGGGGTGGGCTTTCTTCACGTGGTTTTCCTTGCTGTGCTTTGGTGGTGCATCCCTGTAAATATGGTTACCCTGGGCAGTTGGATCTCACACTGGAGGCATCACCCTTGCTGTGTGTGTGAAGTTCCTTGGGGAAAAGAGGAGGCATCTGCCCAAGATGTGCTGGTTTGAGTGTGATGGTGATGGAGAACCACCACAAGGATTTGGGACCAGTCTCATGTGCCCGGAGCGAGCGGCTCAGTGCTGGTGACCATTGCTGGGGCTTCCCAACGAGCCAGCACCAAAGGAGGGTCCAGTTCCTCTTTGTGACTCCAACAGCAACTTCAGGGCTGTGGGTTCAGACCCTGTGCTGGCAAACATCTGAGGGACTGGCAGGTGAATGGTGACTTCAACACAGAAAGCCCCAAATGTCAGCGACGGCCACAGGGGATTCCTGGTTCCGCCTCACGCCACAACCTCCCCCTCACAGAGTAATTCTGAGTATCTGAAGGGGGGAAAAAACCGCTCCTGGCTTGAGCTGCAAAATCAAAAGCTGGAAAGAACCATTTAACAGTTCCTCATTCATCTCTTCCCCCTCCGTCTGATGCAGTTTGTCAGATGAAGATGTGATCGCTCTTGTGGTTTCCTTTGGAGACATTTTTTTGCCCAGCAAAACAGACTGGATATTCACCAAGGGTGCCCACAGAGTCATGAGTTCCTTTCGCTGTCACTGCCCGTGCCAGCCGGGCTTTCAAGTGGCCGCTCAGCTTTGCAGGGGAATTGTTCTCTTGACGTACATTTAGGTTCGGCTTTTAAAGGCAGTTTTGGAAAATATTCTAAGAAATGTTTCCAGTGATCCCCGTGATTTCAGTCAGAGCAGCAGTAGAAGCGCGGTGCCTACACAGCTGGAGAACCCTTTCCTGCAGCCCTGGCAGCTGCCTGACCTGATCTGCTGCCTCTTGTTTCTTAAAGTTGAATAATTTTGTAGTTCATCACCTGGGTCAGATGACCCCAAGCTGTGTGGTGTGGTTGACACACTGGAGAGAAGGGATGGAGCATCCAGAGGGACCAGGACAGGCTGGAGGGGTGGGACTGTGTGAATTTGTTGAGGTCCAACACAGCCAAGTGCAAGGTCTTTTGTGTGGATTGGGGCAATCCTAAGCCCAAATACAGGCTTGTTTGGGATAATGGATTGGGAGTAGCCCTGAGGAGAAGCACTTGAGGGTGTTGGTGGATGAGAAGCTCAACATGACCCACAGTGTGTGTGTGCAGCTGCAGGAGGGCTGGTTTGAGGTGCTGTGGGGTGGAAGTGTGGGTTTGCTGGGATACAACACACAGCTCCTGTGAAAGTTTGGGAAGCTCCTTTTGGGGAGCAGACCTTGCCTGCTCCAGGCATCCTACAGATGCAGATGGAAGTGGCTGCTTGGCATAGCCAGGAGAACTCCCCAGGAGACCTCAGTGAGAAGTACAAGGAGGAAGCTCTGGGCAGCTCTTCAGGGGGTTCTCTGCCTCTTGAGCACTTGGGGCTCTTAGAGAAGAGCTCCAGGGCTGCTCTGGCACTTAAGGAGCCCGTGGTGATTCTGAGAGTCATTACCATGATCTTAACTGCTTCAGACTTTGGTCTTGGCCACTTTTCAGCAGGGTCGCCAGATTTCTGCCTTAAGTTCTGCCTTCAACCTACTGCCCATGGAAGGAGAGAATTAAGTTTAACATTTTTGGTAATGGAATCATGGGGAAATTTCACTGGATCTGAGCTGAAAATGGTTCTAACTTATCGTTTTCTGCCATCGCTGATCTCCAGCACTGCTGCTGTGCCATGTGCTCAGATTGCAGCCCTAGATTAGGAACTTTGAATGGGCGCTGTGTTCCAGCACCTCTTACCACATTAGAAAAAGCAATTCAGTAAAAATCAGTCATGTGGTCATCAACATGCATCCTCCCAAGCTGATTAGCCTGGTGGACATGTCCATAAACCTATTACAGCATCAGACCACCTCTGTCTGTGCCAGGAACCGCGTCAGGTCTTCCCTCTGCGGTCGTAGCCGTGGTCCCGTGGGAGATCTGGCAGTGCCCAAAGCAGTTCTTTAGTCTTCACACCCTCCTGGAAAATTATGCAGATCTGTGCTGGAAACTTCCCCGTGACTGACAACTGCAAAGATAAACTGGGGAGGGACCCGGGCCCTGATTCCCCCGGAGCCTGAGCTGGGTGGGCGTTGAGGGAGGCTGGTCCTCTGCCAAGGGTCCAACTCCATCCCTGAGTGGGGAATGTGCCCGAGGGATGTGTGTGGCTCACACGAGGGCTTATCCAGGGCTTAGGGAAACACTCTGTGCTAAGCAGGATTTGGCCTGTGCTAATTTGACCTTAATTGTTTTCCCTTCTCGTTTGATGGTCCATCCTTCCCTTGCCAGGCTCACAGGGTGTCATTTGGCTCTCTGGTGCCCACACTGGAGTGGTGAGGGGTGACCCAGAGGCTGGTGCTGACTCCCTGGTGTGGTTTGTGCCCAGCTCCATCGATCAGGAGCCGCAGCAGAGGGAATGAGCTCGGGGTTATTTGTCTCCATGCGCTGCTTTTCCTCGATGCTGACTTTAATGGTTGCCTGCTTGTGTAATCAAAGCAGGGCTTTGCAGTCTCCTACAACCCCACACCTTCTGGTGGTGTTTTTTTTATAGGTCCCAAATCAGTGCAGCGCATCAGCAGTGGGAACATCTCACCTTAAAATGGCTGACAGTTCACACACCGAAGCTTTCAGCTCGTGCTCTCTTGTGTTATTTGCTTTTTATTTTCCTTGCACTGGCTGTGCTCAGACCACCAGGTCTCCTGGAGCACGTTTTGGGCGTTGGGCTGCAGGAGGCTGAAAGCAAAGGGGGTGAAAAATGTGTGTGTGCTGGGGTGCAGCCAGTTCAAGCCCCAGGAGGGAACAGGGAGCTGCAGAGTGTAACTCCAGAAGGGAGTCAGGCAGCCTGACCAGCCTCCAGATGGTAAAAACCTGGTGCAGAGAAGGCAGACACATGGCTCCAGGTTTATCCACACCTAAATGTGTCTCTCTCCATTGTGGGCACACGAGTGTCTCAGTGCCCTGGGCTCCTGTGATGGCACCTCTGGGTCCTGCAGAATCACAGAATCCTGGAATGGTTTGGGTTGGAAGAGACCTTAAAGCTCATCTCATTCCACCCCCTGCCACGGGCAGGGACACCTTCCACTAGCCCAGGTTGCTCCAAGCCCCATCCAGCCTGGCCTGGGACACTTGCAGGGATGGGGCAGCCACAGCTTCTCTGGAGTGGCTGGAGAAAAATTATTTTTCTTACCCATATCTTGCACTGGTTCATCCAGCAAGAGCAAGATTTGCTGCTGGTTGTGTTGGGTGGTTCAGCTGGAGAATGGAGTGTCCTGTGAAGGTTCCTTGGCCAGTCCTGTGAGGTATCACTCAGGCCCATGGAATCTCGCTCACAGTGCAAAATCTGACCTTGTGTTTTTACTTTCAAGTCTCTGGTTGGGGGGTTTGGGCCACTGTGGTTTGTAGAGGTGATTAGAAAATGGCACTTGTTTTGCATGAAGTTTAAAAAACACGGGGTTGATTTTCCCCCATCTACCCACATTTTCTCAGAAAAAAAAAAGGCATTTTTTCGTCTATACTTAGAATGACAACACCGAATCTATTCTCACTAAAATGTTTTACCAGCACCAGTTGGGTTTTCTTTTTAAGAAAAACTAACATTTCAAACACGGGGCGAGGGAGAGAAAACCCATGTTTTGACAGAGGCATCTTTTGACAGGAGTATTTCAGCCAGAGCTGATGTTTTGAGCTCATCTATCAAACATGTGCAGTTGCAATTAGTTACTATTTTGACCACCCAAGATTTTGGTGTACAAAACATTTCCTGTGTTTTGTACATCAAAACGTGGTCGTGGGGGTCTTATGGGATGAGCCACATGGGTTGTCTGGCAGCAGGAAGGGATGCCTTGCTTCCCAAAGCCCCCTGGAGCTGGAAGATAAGTGGTAAAACATCTTTTCTGGGCATCCTCCATCAACAGCCCCGGGTGTGCAAACCTGGTGCAAGCACCAGACAACTGCTCTGTGACGTCCTCAATTGTATTTTCAGGAGCTCTTCCTCACCCACCAAAACTCTGGGCTCCCACCAGGCTCCCAAAGGCACAGGGAAGGTTGTTACTGCTGGGAGAACGGAGTAAAACTCTTCTCAGAGGAGCTGAGTACAAGTTTGCTGCCCTGCCAGAGAAGTAATCGCGTGGAGTCGGAGGTTCTCAATTATTCATGATTTCCAGAATCACATTATTTCTTCCAGGGCCTGTTTTACTAATGCTGTTGCTATTTCTGATGGTAAATAACAATTTTGCATTATTTATGAACGGATTTTTTACAACTGCTGATGTTACAGCTGCTGCCAGAGCAGTGGGAAAATCATTATTGCTGTTTGTTGTTGTTTCTTCCTCACACTCAGCCCCCTTGTTGTGTGCGTGGTGATGGTGATGGTGGTGATGATGATGATGACGACGATGATGGTGATGGTGATGATGATGGTGATGATGATGATGATGGTGATGATGATGATGATGAGCTAAGCATGGCACTGGTGAGGAACAGGGTGCAGATGCCAAATGGGTGACTTGGGTGGCCACTGAGCTTGTGGCTGGTGCATCCCAGCTGGGGATGGATGGAGGACAGGATCCCAGGTTGTGGTTAAATTCCAAGAGCAGGAAGGTCTGATTACCTCCCTGTTCCAGAGGTAGCTGCTTGCAGGAGCTCCTACACACCTGAGATGGGGTGTACTCCACAGACTCTGCTGCTTCTGCTCATCATTTATTTCAGATGACACCCTGCAGATCCAAAACAGGTCCCTCACCAACCCCATCTCATTTTAGTGGGTCAATCTCTGGCAGATCCACTTCTTTGTCCTCCAGTTTGGAGGAGACTCAGTGGAGATGGTCAGAGATGTGTTTGCTAATGGGACACTTGCCTTTGTAAGTAACGTCAGGCAGAAGAATCCCAGAGTCACTGAGGTTGGAAAAGCCCTCCCAGCCCATGGATCCCCCCTGTGCCCCATCCCCAGCTTGTCCCCCAGCCCAGAGCACTGAGTGCCACGGCCAGGCCTTCCTGGGACACCTCCAGGGGTGGAGACTCCACCACCTTCCAGGGCAGCCCCTGCCAAGGCCTGAGCACCCTTTCTGACGTCCAACCTGAACCTCCCCTTGCACAGCCTAAGTCTGTGTCCTGTCATGTGAAGAAGCTCTGGCCCAGCTTCACCACAGCACTGGAATGAGTTTGGAGGAGGTAAATCCAAATTAAGTCCTTTGGGGAAGTCAAGGGTGAGACATTTGGCTCATGCTTAGGAGAAAATTCTGTCACAATGTTTTGTTAAAGAGTGTTTGGGTCTTTGGGGGTGGTTTGCTCCATTTCCCCCCTCTGTGATGTGGCTCCCTGGGGGTGACCCATGGCCAGGCAGCAGCACTGGGACACGGGTGACTCTGTGAAAGCCACCAGCTGTGGCTCCTGGGCTGCTGCCCCCGTGTCTCCTGTCCCTGTCTCGTGCCCCCCGTGTCGTGCTGTTCCTGCCCCGTGTCCGTCCTCAGCAGCTCCCAGGCAGCCTCTGATCTCCCCTCCTGCATCCCTGGCCTCCAGCAGCGCCCAGGGAGCCGGGAGCCAGGCAGGGATGCAGGCAGGGATGCAGGCAGGGATGCAGGCAGGGATACAGGGAGCAGAGCTGGCAGCCAGGGCTGAGATCAGAGGCTCACAGCAGGATGGATGGTGCCTGCAGGCCTCGCTCCCCTCCTGCTCACAGCCCGAGATCCAGGCGTGGGGCAGCACTTCCCAAGCTCTGACAGAGCAGGATCCAGAGCAGATTGGGATGCAGCTGGTCCCGCAGCTTCCGCTCCTGCCTTTGGTGTTGGGAGATAAGGGATTTACTTCAGCCTGCAGCGTGGTGAATGGTATTAGTGCAGGCTGCTGCTGCCAGCCCGCTCCTTCCCTGCCTGCAGGGATGAGACACCCTCCTGTCCCAGCCCTTCTCTCCCTCTCAGGGCACAAACCAGGTCACTGGATAACGGGGGCAGGTGCTGCATCCTCCGGCCCCTGCTAAGCCAGGTGGAAAATTGCCCAGTCATTCCCAGGGCAGCCTGTCCCCTGTGCCCAGGTGAGCTGCTCCCCACCTCCCGTCCCCCCTCCACCAGGCATCCAGCCCTTCCCTGGCTCAGCCTTCAGCAGCTCAGTTATCCTCTGGCACTTCATTCCTCCTGGCTCCACAGGGACACAGGGAGTTTATCCAGAGCAGCCTGATGATGGAGAGCAGCACGAGGACTGTGCAGAGACCTGCCCCGTCTGTTTATTTTTACCCTCCCCAGCCTGTCTGGAGGAAACATCCTTAAAATACTCTGCAAAGCAGGGCACTGAAAGGCAGGCAGGCTCACAGGGGAGGGCCACCAGGTACCATCCACCAGCCCTCTGGCTGGAGCCACCAACCAGACGGGAGTCAGGATCCGTCTCGCAAATGCCACGTTGCCATGGAGTCAAGGACAGGATCGAATCCAGTCATGTTGCTGTTGGAAAAGGGAGGCAAATGTAAACAGCAGCAAGCTGTGTTTCCTCCTTCCTTCTGCAGATCTTCTCCATCGTGGTGTTTGGCTCCATTGTGAACGAGTGCTACGTGAACAAGGACAGCCAGAACCCCGAGCTGCTCTGCATCTTCAACGAGAATGAGAGCGCCTGCAGCTACGGCATCGCCGTCGGCATCATCGCCTTCTTCGGCTGCATCTTCTTCTTCATCGTGGACCTGTACTTCCAGCAGATCAGCAGCGTCAAGGACCGCAAACGGGCCGTGCTGCTGGACCTTGGCTTCTCAGGTACCTCTGCGGGCTGAGGGAGGGGCGGCTCTGGCTCCTGCAGCTCCACTCCCGAGTCCTCCCCTCTCCCCCCACGGCCTGACACGACTGGAGTGCCTCGTTCAGGGAGAGCAGGGGTGGCAGGGGCCTTGTCCCACCCAGCTGTGAGCTCAGGAAGCTACATGTGGTGGCTTGAAGGCAGTCCCACTTGTCTGTGTCACTGCTGCAGCTGGAGGTGTTTGCTGAGCTGGCTTTGGTGAGGCCACACAGAGAAGTGAGGTTTGGTGGTCACATGTCAGAGACCAGATAGGGTGTTTTACCCTCCCACGTCAACTTCTGGCTCACGAAAAGGTGGTTTCCTCAGTTGTGCTGAGTCTGGTTTCACTCTGTGCATGTGTTTGGGGCGGAGCAGAAGCAGTTTCTGCACCCCTCTGGCCCCTCTCACTGTGGGCAGGGGGGGCTGGGACCCCCGGGGCTGGCATGGATCTTCTGTGCCCTCTGGAGCCCCTGGACCTGAGGCTGATCCGTGCAAACAGGAGCAAGCAGGATGCCTTGAGCTGGGAGAGAACATCCTCTGCTCGGCTGCTGCGGGAGCTGCCCGGCTCTGCTGGCAGCTGATGTTCCCCATTCCCAGGCTCTCGTGTCAGCAAAGTCTGAAGGTGATTTATCCAGCACAGACGTCTCTGATGGCTCTCTGTCCCAGATGAGAACATCCATCATCACCTCCCTGTGCTGGCCTGTCACTGAGGGTGTTCTCTCCTTGCTGGAGAGCTCATTTCCGTGGTGCTGGAGCGCCAGTGTCTAGCCCTTGTTAGGGAATATTTACAGCCCCTTCCGTGGGGCTCAGTGCCTGAAACCCTTGGATTCAAGCAGAAGGGGAACATCACATCCATCTCCTGGCTGCTGCTCCATGTGGCAGAGTGAGGCTGCAATCCTCTCTCCCTGCCTTCCACCTCCTGGCAGCCCTTTGCTCCCTGCCAGGGATGTGGGAACTGGCACTGCTCTACATCTCTGCCTCCTTTCTCCTTGGTCCTTGTCATGCATCCACTGGCTGGGGGAATGAGAGTATCATGGAAGTCTGGAATGGTTTGGGTTGGAAGGGACCTTAAAGCCCATCCAGTCCCACCTCCTGCCATGGGCAGGGACACCTTCCAGTAGCCCAGGTTGCTCCAAGTCCCATCCAGCCTGCCCTTGGACACTTCCAGGGATCCAGGGGCAGCCACAGCTTCTCTGGGCAACCTGTGCCAGGGCCTCCCCACCCTCACAGGGAAGAATTTCTTCCTAAAATGCACCTGGGAAATAACTGGGTGGTAGTACTGGGACACAGACAGGGGTTCAGGCAGGGCCACCACGCTGCAAACAGCATTTGCAACTTTCTCTTCCAGCTGCTCCTGTAGACAGGCGTTTGCTTGGGACCAGGCTGGGATTAGGATGGTGACACATCTTTCCTGGTGTTTGCACTCTGTTGTCTGCAGATCCTAAAATGATAATTATCTCCTGGCTCTTTTGGTGCCTCCTGGCGTTTTCCATTTCCCCCGTGTGCTGGAGGTTGTGGAGCTGCTGCTGGAGCAGCTGGAGCTGGGACTGGCACATTCAGCCTCTCCACGTCACTGCCAGCTCAGCCCTCCTTGGGGGGTTTTAAAATCCGTGTCAGTCCTCCAAACTTTGAACCACAGCTGGCTTGTGTTTCTGGAGATGCTCTCCGTGCCTGACCCCATCTCCTCCACCGGCAGCAATTCCTGCCTTCCCGTGGCACTGCAGGGAATCCTCCTCCTCTCAGGGCTTATGTGGAGGGGAAAGGCTCGTCTCTGCATCACCAAACTTCTAGGAAGTCCACATGGGTGGCAGGAGAAGCAACCCCAGGGACACAACGCTGGCTGGTGGTTTCAGGAGGAGGAGGGTGGTGTCTCCCACCCCTCGGTGCTGCAGGAGGAATTTGGCAGCTGCAGTACCCGGCACAGCCGGTGCACGGTGGGGAACGTGCATGATTGTAACTCCTGAAAGCCCTCGGGTGACACCACTGACAGATGGGCTGTGATGGCACTGGGGACCCAGGCTCATCTCACACCAGCCAGCACCACCATCTCTGGGGTGTGCATCTCCTCGTGTCCAAATTTAGGGGTTGGATCTGCTCCCCGTAGCAGGGAACAGCTGCTGGTGAAGCCCTGTTGTAACAGAGCTGGGGAGCAGAAAACATCTCTGACCCTGAGGACCTTTAAGGAATAAACCCCAGAGGTCACTGACAACAGGCCATCAGCCTAAGGGGAAGTGAAAGTGCATAGGCAGAGCTTTGGTGGGTTCAGTGCCAGGACATTTCTGGTGAAATGTCTGTGCTTTGGAAAGGGAAAGCCTGGCTGATCCTTGCTGTGAGGGCAGTTTCCTGGCCAGGCTGATGGAAGTGTGGATGGTTGGGAAGCCCCAGGCCCAGCCGTGCAGGAGAAGGAGACAAAGAATGTGGCTTCTTAAACTGCAATTAGGAGCAAACTGTGAGTTAAAGGCAGTGGGCCCTGTGACTCCAGCACTGGGTGAGGATGGTCACATGCATTTTATATCCTACTTAGGGACAACTGGCAAGATAAAAGGGAATAAAGGGAAATAAAGGGGAATAAAGGAAGGTTCTTCCTCTCCCTGCAGTCAGACAGCCAGCAGCCCCAGGGGACTGGCAGTGTGGCTGCTCATACTGATGTGCTGATGGATCCTTGGGAAGGTGCTGGGTGGAATCAGCACCAGGAATCAGCATCAGATCAGAATCCCCGGCATCCACACGTGCATTGACATACGAATTGGAGGGTGGGGGGACCTCAGGAAAGCTGGAGACCCTTAAAACAGCATCATGGGAGGCTCCAGGTTGTGCAGCTCCTCCTCCCAGCTCTGGAAGGCCTCCCTGCTCCTTAGGCTGTGTGCTCTTGGCTTGTTTCTTGGCTGTTTGCTGAGCTCCTTGGCATCTGGAGAGCTGTTGGCTGGTGATTGAATTAGGGGAGCTGCAGCCATCTCTTGCTCAGCCAGCTTTGGTTCCAGTAAGGAATAATCACCAGAGTATTTTTGCTCAGTTCCACAGCCCCAGAGGGATTCTCTTTAGGGAGGAGCAGAGCTGTCACGTGTGTCACAGAATCACAGGATTATGGAGTGGTTTGGGTTGGAAGAGACCGTAAAACTCATCCAGTTCCACCCCCTGTCAAGGGCAGGGACACCTCCCACTATCCCATGTTGCTCCAAGCCCCGTCCAGCCCAGCCTGGGACACTTCCAGGGATCCAGGGGCAGCCACAGCTTCTCTGGGCAACCTGTGCCAGGGCCTCCCCACCCTCCCAGGGAGGGATTTCTTCCCAATATCCCATTAAATGTACCCTTTGCAGCAGCAGGTGGAGGTCCTTGCAGGAGAGGAGGTGACAGCACTGACCAGCTCTGTTCTCTCCCAGGTTTCCTGGCCTTCCTGTGGTTTGTGGCCTTCTGCTTCCTGGCCAACCAGTGGCAGAGGACGACGCTGACCAGGGGCTTTGCGCAGGGGGCCGACGCTGCACGGGCAGCAATCACCTTCTCCTTCTTCTCCATCATCATCTGGGTGAGTGCAGCCCCAGCTGGGCTGGGCAGGGCAGAAAAAAACCTCCTCAGGGCAGACACAAAACCTCCTCAGGGCAGACACAAAACCTCTTCAGGGCAGACACAAAAAGTCCAGCACTGGGCTGGAGGAGGAATCTGGGGAGGGTTTGGAGAAGTGAATCCTGGTGGGTGCTGAGGGGCTGCGCTGAGGGAACTGTGGGCCCTCCACAGATGAAACTGGTGGTTTCTTACCCGGGAAGCATCAGCTCAGTCCCCTCTGTCGCTGGGGAATTCCAGGCTTCCCCTTCTCCTGGGCCTGGGAAGTTGTGTTCCCATTGAGAACGTGTCACCAGCCACGAGCTGCCCTGATTTTGGGGCCTCGTTAGAGCCCCGGGGGCAGCTCAGCTGGGAGCCAACAGGTCCCCAGGAGCAAATCAGTGCTCTGAGCTGGTTTCATGGGATGGCAGGGGGATTTTGGGAGCTCTCAGGCTCATCAGCTCCTTGGGATGAGCCAGGCTGGCCCCTCTGCTGTCCACCCAGAGGCAGGGGCTTGTAGAAACCCCTGTGCTCCCTATTTTTGGCTTTGTGCATCCCCAGGGCCCACAGGGGTAGGGGAACCTCTTCCAGAGCCCTTTTCCTACAGCTGCTGGACCCTGCATGTCCTGGGGGCTTGTGCCACTCAGGGAGCTCCTGCTCCACAGGCTGTGTGTGGAGGAGCCAGGATGGCTCCGTGTCACCTCCACTCCTCCAGTTTTTCCTGGGCAGAGAGCCCCAGGATGTGCCCTAATTCCATGTTGCCTTAAGGGAATTGGGGCAAAAGCCAGCCTGAGGTTTTCCAGCATCAGCCTGGCTCCAGTTCCTCACCAATTCAACTGCTCCCTGCTTTATGATTATCCAAATAAATCTCTTTTAATCCCAGCTCCCCACAGCTCTTCTCCATCCCTGTGTTGCCTGAGTTGAGTGCAGCCCCCGGGGCGGGGGGATGTCCCCCATCCCCTCAGCATCTGCTCCCACTCCCCTGTTACCATCCCAGAGGATGGCCAGCGTGGTTGGGAAACCATTCTCAGTGTCTACAGGCATTTTTTTTCTCCTCCTGAGCCTGTCATGTATAAACTAATTGAAATTGTTAATGAAACCTCCTGAAATCAGAGCGAGCACTCGCGGCTCTGCCGCCCACATTTCCCACCCTTTGTGACCTCAATTCTGGCAACCTGGGAGAGGGTGAAGGAGTCTTGGCAGAACTGACCTATTTTCTGGCCTGGCACTCATCAGTTTTCCCTCCCCACGGCGCAGGGGTTCATTGGTGCCAGCAGTGCCAGCTCTGCACAGCCAGGGGTCTCGAGCCCAGGCTGCAACCCCCACCCCAACACAGCTTTGGGGTCAACCTGTCACACAGAAATGGCCTCTTTAGGGTTACAGGGTGGGCTTTGGGTTGGATTAGCTCATGGTTATAACAGAGCGGGGCAGCAGCTTCCTGGGATGCTGCCATGTGCTCAGTGCTGGGGACATGGGGTCCTGGGGGAACTCAGGGTCCTGAGGGGATGTGGGGTCCTGGGGGACACAGGATCATGGGGGAATGTGAGATCCTGAGGGCATTGTGGGATCCTGGGGGCACATGGGGTCCTGGGGGAAATGTGAGATCCTGAGGGGGTTGTGGAATCCTGGAGGGAAGTGGGGTCCTGGGGGAGTGCAAGGTCCTGGGAGGATGTGAGGTCCTGGGGGGTCACGGGTTCCTGGGGCCATGCAGGGTGTGGGGGGGAGTTGTGGGATGCTGGGGCCATGCAGGGTCCTGGGGGGGAGTTGTGGGATGCTGGGGCCATGCAGGGTCCTGGGGGGGAGTTGTGGGATGCTGGGGCCATGCAGGTTGCCCCCCCTGACCTCCTGCTCCTCCCGCAGGTGGTGCTGGCAGTGAGGGCCCTGCAGAGGTACCGCCTGGGCACGGACATGTCGCTCTTTGCCACCGACCAGTTCCCGGCTGACCCGAGTGCTCCGTACCCCGGGTACCCCGTGGGCAGCGGCACCGAGAGCACGGAGACCTACCAGAGCCCCCCCTTCACCGAGACCTTAGAGGCCAACCCCAAAGGTTACCAAGTGCCAGCGTACTGAGGGCCCCGGGGCGTCCCCGGGGCCGCGTCCCACGGTGCAGCACCGGATCCGGCCGATCCCAAATGTATTCAGTCCCATTTCCTTGCCGTGGCCAGTCAGTGCTGGGTCCCTTTATTAGCTCGTTGTGCAGTGAATTCTGTACAGTGGTATTGGTTCTTGTCTTACCTGTCCCAGGGTTTCTAAAAGCAGTGTTCCCTCTAAGCCAGAAGGAAGGAAGGTTGTTGCCACATCGCCTACGCGTGGGGAAGATGAATAAATGCCCTCTCTAAGCCTTGGTGCCGGGTGCTGGCTCTGCTGGGAAAGCCCAGGACACCTTTTCCTCTTAGAAAACAGTAGCTGAGGAGTTATTTCTCTCGTTCTGAGGAGTTATTTATCTCGTTCTTCCAGAACTAACACAGAATCCATTGAGGGTGGGCGGGTGGTGGGGAGGGTTGGGCTCCTGCTGAGGAGCTTTCCAGTCCATGTTCCATGGAAAGTGCCAAATTCACAAGGAAGTTAAGTGGTGTCTGTGTTACTTTTCTTTGTATATATTTACTGTACAAAACAAATATCCAAACAGGTGTTTCAAACTTGGCTTAGAGGCACGGGGTGGGGGTCACAGTGGGTCGAGGTCAGGGTCAATATGCAGATTAATTCTGTGCTTCAATGGGTTCTGGTCAAGGGTGTAAAAAGTTGCTGTTTGAAACTGGGAACCAGTTCAGCAGTAGCTGGCTGCTGACTGGGAATAGCCTGTGATCAGCGGGATATGGCAGGTTGTGGTTCTGTTTGTTCACCAGGGAACTGGGAAGTTTCTGGTTGGCAGCGCTGCCACGTCCTCCTGCTCAGCCCTGGCACCAGGGGTGGGGGGCTCAGGCGCAAAGTCCAAGGCCATTAGGAGCAATATTGGACTTGTGTTTTCATACTGGGAGCAGCCACCATCTGTCAGCTGCAGCAGAACCCCAGGTGGGGACATGTGTGTCACCCTGCAGTCTCCAGAAATGAGGAATTCAGGCAGGGAACTGGAAAGGCTTCACAGGCCACTGAAGTCCCTCCCGAGTGGGCTCACATGTTTGGGAATAGTGTGGGGGGAGAGAGTCAGTGAAAAGCACCCAGGAAAGAGGCTCAGTTTGGAGTTTCAGCTTCAAAATTCCTGCCTTGTAAAAACGAAATGTGTAAAATCCAGTGGGTCCTTGTCAGCCACCTGCTGGCTTTCCCTGCTGGCTTTCCCTGCTGACTTTCCCTTCCAGCTTTCCCTGCTGGCTTTCCTTGATAACTTTCCCTGATGACTTTCCCTGCCTGTGCAGCAGCTGCTCCAGGCCATGTGTCACTGAGGACTGAGCAGAGGAGCTGAAACTTGACTTCTTGACCCCCTTGGTGGCAGCTCCATCCTTGGAGACCCCCGGCTCTCCGGCGCTCCGGGGTCTTGCCTTGCCAGTTCCCTCCGGCAAAGCCGCTGCTGCCTTCGGCCTCGTGAGGAGCAACAGTCCCAGCCTGCCCCTCCCCATGGAGCAGGTCCTGGTCACCACCACCACAGCTCATTCCTGCTGCTGAATCCCATTTAAACCAAGTAATCAGCAGCAAATCCTCCCGAGCTGTCACCGCCGGTGACAAAGCGCATTCCCTGCCTCCCTCCATCCAGGCCGGGTTCCATGAGCATTCCCTGGCTGTGCCAGTGCTGAGCTCCTCACAGGGACACCCAAACCCCAGAGTAGCCTAAATGAATTCCAGGATCTTTGCGGTTTTGTGGAGCCAGTCTTGCTGGGAAAGGAAAAAAAACCCCAAGGATTTTAACACAGGGTCCGGTAGAACTGTAGCAATATTTTCCTTAGAGGGAACACTGAAACTTTAGCAGCACAACCAGTACTCGTGTTAATATTTTAGCAAAATTATAATCAATTTAAATGTTTAAATTGATTGTACGTGAGATAATGTTCGTTCGGTACAGTGTATTTTTTCTAACTATAATATAACTGTTCCAGAGTTTCCTTGTATCCGTGAAGAGCTAAAGCTGTGTCTGCCTGCGGGACGTGTCCTGCCCCCTGTACCCCCCCCGTGCTGAATATTACACGCTCTGAATGTCCCCCCCGAGGCCTGCATTGCCTTTCTTTGCCCCACACGCACATCCCACCACGCTCGGTGCCAGGACTGACCTCGGGAGTCAGGGAATGACATGGGAATGCCGCCGGCACAGCTCCAGCCCCCGGCTGAGGCACCTGGTCCTTCCCGAGGTCAGCAGCTCGTTCCAGCTCTTAAAAATCAGTGTTACCTTCACCTTGCAGGCAGCACTTGGCTGCTCTGCTGGGCAGGAGAGGAGGAGGAGAAGGAGGAGGAAGGGCTTGGGCACCCGAGAGGCTTCCTGGCAGCAGGAAGGCAGGACAGATTGTTCCTTGATTAAACCAGAGCGGGAATAACGTGTCCAGCCACATCAACAGGCACCTCAGGGGAGGTTAACCCTGATCCCTCTGCACCCAAAATGCTGGTCCCTGTCAGGGAGGGGAGCACATCCCTGCTGGGCTGGCACTGGGACGGGCAGGACACCCATAACTGGGGCGTTTTCCCAGGGAATAGTGATGGGTTTATGTAGGATGTGGCCACGATGAGACAGGAGGGGACAACCCAAAAGTCAGGTGGCCCTGTAGCAACCAGGGTCTTGAAAGGAGCATTGACCCACCTCAGCCTGACTCAAACACCCCCGTTTTTGGGTTGGCTGGGGGGGCTGTTGCCGAAGGCCCCACGTGCAGCTCCCCAACCCCAGAGCAGCCTCCACCCAGCCGAATCCAAACATGCTCAGAGGCAGGGTTAGTGTGAGACACAGCCCCCACCCTGTGCCTGGAATCCTGCCTGGAATCCTCTGTGAGCCCCCCCAGTGTCCCCACGAGCTGCTTGGAGTCACCCTGCAGTGCCCGAGGTGCTGCCACACCTCGGTGTGTCCATGACCCCTTGGGCAGACCAGAGTGTACAGGTGGGGCTGGAATAGATACAGCCCAAGGGGCCCATGGTTAGAGAACTGGAGCCATGGGAGCAGGAACTGCTGTACTGGGGGCTTCAAGTATTTGTAACATCCATTTCCATCTTCTTTCTCCCCAGTTTTTTCTCCCAGCCCATTTGATGTGGTACAATAGCACTTGTTCCCTCATAACTACCCAGACCACATCCTAAAAACGTGCCAGGACTGTCCTGAGCATGCCAGGGCTGTCCCAAAACCACGCCAGGACTGTTCTGAGCATGCCAGGGCTGTCCCAAAACCACGCCAGGATGTCCTGAGCATGCCAGGGCTGTCCCAAAACCACGCCAGGACTGTCCTGAGCGTGCCAGGGCTGTGCCATCCTCACAAGCCGTTTATGTCCCTCTGTTCTCCTCAGAGCTCGGGACCCCCCAGCACCTCGAGCTCGCAGAGGGCAGGACTCTGCTGTGCTCAGCTCAGCCCCAAACCTTCTGTTAGCACTGAATTTGGGTGTAAAGAGCAGAATTCCAGCAATCCCATGCTGAGTTCTGCCCGACCCCCCTGCTCCAGGAGGCTCTGCCGGGACAACTCGGGTGTTTCCCAGTGCTGGGGTAACCACGTCATGGGGTTTGCAATTTATTTAAAGCATATTAAAAGATTTGAAAGAATTGGAGTTTTTGTCAGCATTTTAAGCTGTTCCTAGCAAGGTGGAAGCTTTGCTTAAGCGATATTTAGTAAAAATATCCCCTCCATTACCTGCTTCTGTGTTTAGGGGGCTGGAGCAGACCCCAAGAGCAGATCCCTCCCTTTATGCCACGCCAACCAGCTGTGCCTGGACGCTGTGGGATGAGTTTCCCATCAGTTCCTGCCACAACAGCAAGTGACACCCCCAGCATTTCTTTTCTGCTGTCCATCAGTTCCTCACAGGGTACTCTGTACCCTCCCCTGCCCATCGCCAGCCCCCCAGAACAGCACAGTGCTGCTCCTGGCTCTGCCCGCTGCTGCTCTGAGCTCCCACTAACCATTCTCACCGTCTATTCCATAGCAAATCCCATCATTATTTTGTGGAATGGCCATTTCTCTCAGTGAAAGCTGCTGTACATATTCACAGACTCCTCTCAGCCCGTGCTGTCCCCAAGCAGGTGGCTCTGGTCCCGCTCTGGTCCCCCCTTGTCCCATTCTCAGCTGCATTTTGACCCTCTGTGTGTCACAAGAGCCTCTCCCACCCCAGTGAGGTTCAGAAACAGCCTTCACTGTCTCGACTTGAAACCCAAGTTCAGCTGCCTGGATTTCGTTGCAATACACATTTAAACCTCAGATCCTTTAAGAGTTTTAATCTCCAACAGATCCCAACTGTGGTTTGGGAAGTTCAGTTTCTTTGCAGATACCTCTGTCCGAGCAGACGCTTCCAGGAGTTGCAGTTGTCACTTAACCTCTGTGCAGTGTAGTATAAAGTGGACTGTGTATGGAAATAAGTTTAAAATGTTTACAATTTTGTATATATTATATATATAAAAATATCTTTTGAGAGAACAATCTGTGATTCTGTATTTTCGGTGTCCGTGTAACCAACTGCAACTTATTTTCAATAAAGAGTTAAAAATGAATAGAAAAAAAAAAAATTTGGTAATAACTTTATTTAATCAGGTGAGCACAAGGAACAAGGAAACTGCAAGAGCAGGCCCCAGAGACCCAGAGCCTCGAGGGAACTCCCAGCAGCACCAGCCCAGGGAACCAGGGAGCTGCTGACAGAGTGAAAACCAAGGGAAGAGGGAAGGTCCTGCTGCAGGGAAGATGCATCTCAGCCCCCTGATGATGGGGAGAGGAGCTGACTGAAGTGGTGGGGGCAGATGGCACCCTCCAGACCCCCCCATGCACTCCTGGGCATCGTGCCCCACTCGGATCCAGGTCCCACCTGAGGCACCAACAGGGACATGTCCCCACTCCTCACGTGCTCATGCAGTGTGTGAACAGCCATGCAGGCAAATCATCCTCCCCAGCCCTGTTTGGGGCCAAATACAACACGTTCAGGTGTTCAAAACAGTCTTAAATACCCAGGAAAGAAACCCGAAGCACTTTGCAGCCTGAGCAAGCAAAAATAACTTTTGTAAGGCAAGGAAAAGTGGCTGTAGCAGGACTAACTCTGAGCTTGATTTCATGGAAATGATGCCTCTAGAAAAGCTGTGTTCTGTCACTAAAAATTACATAAATTAATTTCAGCTTTATTCCTACATGTTAAAAATAACTAAACCTGGAGATGGGAGGGGTCGGACACTGAACTACAGCCATGGAAGTGCACGGCAGGGAGGGCTCTTGGCACTCCAGCACCTCAGAGCTGCTGCTGGAGGAGTCACCTCACAGGATTAAGAGATCCCCCTCTTCCTCTGAGGAGGTGGAATTTGGGGATGCCAAAAAAACATGAGCGAAGCTACATCAGCCTGGTGTCACCGAGGGAGGTGCAGGTGTCAGAGAAATGCACTTAAAGGCACTGCAGAAAACATGGTCAGTGATCAGCAGCATTTAATGTCCCAGGATGCTGTTGGGAGCTCCCACCAGTAATACAACCAAGAAATTAGAAACATGGCAGTCATTAAATAAAATTCCCGTGTGCTTTACGCAGAGTAAAGCCTTAATGCTGTTACTGTACATGCAGGGCTACAAAATCAGTTTCTTGAAAGAACATGTTACAGAAAAGGTCAGAGGCAACTTCAAATCTTGCACAGACCAGCCCATTTCTTCAAGCAGCAGAATGGACTCTGTTTGCAGACAGGAAACTCTGCAGCCCAGTGTTTGCAGCGCTCCTGGTCACACCACTGAGCAGCATCTTTCCTGCACCTTTGTACCCCTGACTAGTGTGATCTTCACTGAAATAGCACAAAAAAATCAGAATGTTATAAGGGAAGCCACTTCTGTTCATTTCAGTGATTCCCTAATCTTCCCCCACCCCAAAACCAGAAAGAAACCCCCAAACCAGATGCTTATTCCCCTATTGTGTCCCCTGTCAGTCTGCAGATCAGAAAGGATTCCCAGCTATTGCATGTTCCAGGAGGAAGGAGCCCCTGCCTGCCCACCCTGGGGCTCAGCCTAACCCTACCCCAGATTTTGGGAGCTCAGACTGTGGGAGGGATGAGCTCCAGCACATTCCCATGATCCCTTTGCCCCGAGAGGGCTCCCCAAATCACCTGCTCCTCACTGACTCAACCGGCACCAGCCCTCGGCCACTCTACGCTGCCAAACCTCATTCCAAAAGTGCATCTCCAGAGCCAGAGCCTGGTGTGTGGGCCCTCGGGAAAGCTAACTGATGATCCTGCTGATTGCCTGCAAGGAAGGGAACTCCTCATCCTCAATATGCAAAGCTTTGTGGGTGACCACGTCCTGCTGAGTCAGCACTTGCTTACACGTGGGGCAGATGCAGCAGTCGAGGTCCGCGGGGGACTCCACCTGCCAAACGTTCTTTTTGTTCTTTTTGGGCCTGTTGGAGCTTTGTTTCTCCTTGACTCGGAAGTCATTGTGAGCAGAGAGCAGTTCCTGCTGCTTCACCGTGTCCGGCAGCAGCACCAACAACTCCTTAAAAATCTTCTTGAAGTTCTCCCCCAGCAGCTCTCGGCAGCTCTTGTAGTACTGTGCTGCAGAGATCACTCCCTGCAGGGAACAGCACGGGGGGAGAATTAGAAATACACAGATCTCTTAAGAAATCCCACTGGGATTCAAGTCTCCCAGAGAGGGAGGTTTTGGGAACCCACTCACCTGCCTGAACTGCCCAGAATGAGTTTTAAATTTATTGAACTTGGACTCGTCGCTTTGAAGAAATTCTTTAATGGATTGTATGAGCTGGATGTTCCTCTGCTGGAAGTTCTCAGGTATCAAGTATGATCCGTGACAGGGTTTTGGCCTGCATTGGGAAACACCAGAAGTGACTCTGACGTTGGTTTGTGTCACAGCAAAGTGCCCTGGGACATAAATCCCAAGGCTGTTCTGGTTTACAGGCTGCACGTCCTTCCTCCACCCAGCTCCACGTGCATTACTGTGAGCTGCACACAGCTGTCTTGCCAGGATGATAAAATATGGGATTTCTGTATCAGATTCCAGCTTTACATAGACAGAATATGTAAAATCCAAATTTAACACGGTCCTG